ATTGCCTAATCCATAATCACGAAGACTTACACCTATGTTGTAAGAGTTTTGTAGTTTTACTGCAATTTGTAATTTGTTTAATCAATCATTTAAAGTTTTTTTTTTTTTTTTTTTTTTGTATATGGTGCAAGGCAGGGTCCAACTTCTTTCATATTTTTTTTTCCCAGCACCATTTGTTTAAAAGATCATTCTTTCCCTATTAAATGGTCTTGGCACCCTTGTTGAAAAATCAATTTACTATAAACATGAAGTTTATTTCTGGACTTTAGATTCTATTCCATTGATCTGTATGTCATCTATCCTTAAGGCAATTACATACTACATTGATTGGTGTAGTTATGATGTAAGCTTTAAAATTGGGAGGTGTCTTTCAACTTTGTTCTTTTTATTTCAAGATTTATTTTTGGCTATTCTGGGTCCCTTGAATTTCCATATGAATTTTAGGATGGGTTTTTCCATCTCTGCAAAAAAAAAAAGTTCTAGGGATTTTGACAGGCATTGAATTGAACCTGTATATCAATTTGGTGAGTACTGCTATATTAACAATATCAAATCTGATCCATGAAAAGGGGATGTCTGTTCATTTATTTAAATGTTCTTTTATTTCTTTCAACAATGTTTTGTAGTTTTCAGAGTATAAGAACTACATTTCTTTGATTAGATTTATTTTAAGTATTTCATCCATTCTGATGTTACTTTAAATGGAACTGTTTTCTTAATTTGACTGTAAGTGTATTAATCAATTAAGTGTATAAAATATAATTTATTTTTGTACACTGATCTTGTATACAGCCTTACTAATTTATTAGTTCAATAGTTTTGTAGTGGATCTGTAGAATCCTATATACAAGATTATTGCAAGTATAGATACTTTTACTTCTTCCTTTCCAATATGAATGCTTTTTATTTAATCTTTTTTTCTAATTCTGTGGCTAGAACCCCCAGTACAATGCTGTATAGCAGTGGTGAGAACACACATCCTTGTCTTCTTTCTGATCTTAGTCAGAAAACTGATTTTTTTTTTCTTTTAACCATTCAGTGTAAAGTTCTGGCTTTTTTTTGTAGATGCCTTTTAGTTCCCTTCTATTTCTAGCCAGTTGAATGCATAAGGATTGTTAAATCTTGTCAAATGCTTTTTCTGCATCTATTGAGATGGTCACATGGGTTTTGTCCTTTATTCAGTCAATATGATGTATTACATTAATTGATTTTCAGATAGTAAACTCACTGTACATTTTGGAGATAAATCCCACTTGGTAATGAATAATCCTTCTTATATACTAATGAATTTGGTTTCCTAGTACATTTGTCCCTTGGTATCTGTAGGGGATTGTTTCCAATACCTCCCTAGGATACTAAATCTTTGCGAGCTCAAGTCCCACAGTCAGTCCTGAGGAACCCATGGATAGGAAAAGTCAAGTTCTGTGAGTTCCACATCCCATAAATACCATATATTTTTATCTGAGGTTGGTGGAATCTGCAGATTCAGAACCTGTGAATATGGAGGGCCAAATCCATTTTGTTGAGGATATTTGCTCTTATATTCCTAAGGGATACTGGTCTGTGGGTTTCTTTCGTTGTGATGTATGCCTGGCTTTGGAATCAGGCAAAAACTGTTTTTTTTTTTTTGTTTTTTTTTTTTTGAGATGGAGTCTTGCTCTGTTGCCCAGGCTGGAGTGCAATGGCAAGTCTCGGCTCACTGCACCTCTGTCTCCTGGGTTCAAGCAATTCTCCCTGCCTCAGCCTCCCGAGTAACTGGGATTACAGATGCCTGCCACACCTGGCTAATTTTTGTATTTTTAGTAGAGACGGGGTTTCACCATGTTGCCCAGGCTGGTCTCGAACTCCTGATCTCAGGTGATCCACCCACCTTGGTCTCCCAAAGTGCTGGGATTACAGGTGTGAGCCACTGCGCCTGGTCAAACTGGTCTTATAGTTTGGAAGTGTTCTCTCCTAATTTTTGGAAGAGGAGATGAAGAATTAATATTAATTATTCTTTAAGTATTTGGTAGAATTTATCAGTGAAACTGTTTGGGTCTGTGCTTTTCTTTGTTGGTAGTTTTAAAATTACCAGTTTACTCTCTTTACTTCTTATAAGTCTATTCAGATTGCCTATTTCTTCTTGAGTCAGTTTCAGTAGTTTCTGCCTTCCTAGCAATTTGTCCATTTCATTTAAGTTATCTAATTTGATGATATACAGTTGTTATATGTAAGTATTCCCTTGTAATTCTTTTATTTCTTAAGGTAATGTATCCATTCTCTTTCATGATTTTAGTAATCTAGCTCTTCTGTCTTTTTTCTTGTTCAGCATAGCTACTGTTTGTCAATTTTGCTGATTTTGTCTAAGAACCAATTTTTTGTCTCATTGATTTTCTCTACTATTTTTCCATCCTCTGTTTCCTTAATTTCTGCTCTAATCCTTATTGTTTCCTCCATTCTGCTTGCTTTGCAGAAGCTTGTTTGATCTTCTCAGCTTGTCTCTCCTGGTATGGAACCTCTGTCCTACCTCAGAGCTAGGGCCAGGGCAATGAGGGTCCTAGTATTCTCAAGCTTCCGCACCTGGCATAAAGCCTCTGTCCTGTAAGTGGGGGCTGACTGAAGTAAGGGAGCCCTCAACTTCTCAGCTGCATTCATTAGGAATTTAACCTCTCCAACTTGGATTAGGAGAAGATGAGAAATCCTCACAGCCTGTCCCTTCTAGTGAGATATGATAACCAGTCATTGGGAGCTGTGGGGAGGAGTCCTATCTTCTTGGCCACACCTACGTGAGTGAAACCTCTGTCAAAGCCATAGTTCACTGCCACAGACTCTTCTTGCTGTTCTTACCAAGTTTTAGTGGATTTTCTTGAATAAATGTTTCTTCATTTGGTGTATGCCCTTAGGACAATTTCCAGACACTTTAAATGTTTCAAATATTTAATAGTTTTTATGTATAAAGTGTTTTCATTTGTTTTGCTTGTTTTCTTGGGAGTCGGTCTGCAAAGCTCTTGCGTTGTTATCCTGAATGTAAAACAAATGTGCTATCTTCTTCCTACAATTATTATCAGCTGAACTGCTCTATCTTAGCCTGTAGAGTTTTAGAAATGATAAATCAGTGTCAAGAATCTAACAGCATACCAAACTGGTATAATCATAGACAGAGGAATTATTTTAAGTTTAAAGACCAATCTTTTTACTATATAGTTGAATACACCTAAAACAAAAACTTCAAAGAAACTGTAAGCTCCACTCAGGACTAGCATTATTTCTAGTAATATTACTGTCTTATTTTCAAACACATTGATATATACATATTATATGTTTGGAAAAAGCAAATAAGTAATTGTATTAATGTGTTTAGACCAAAATATTTGGCATAAGACAAAAAAGATATAAGTATAAAAATTAAAGAATGAACTCATAAATTTGAATGGAAAGTATCAGTATAATCTCACAATTTATTTTTCTCTTTCTAAAATATATGTACTTTCTAGATTTGTCCACTGGAAAGGTCTAGATGCAATGAAAACCCTAACACTCAGATTGTGGTCTCTAAATACAAGATGGGGCAGGAAATACGCATTGTGGACACTGAACTCTGTTAAAGCAAGCTGTCAAATACTAATGGGGATGGGTCAAAAGGACTCAGAACCACCTGAAGGGGCTTCCACTGGCCAAAGATAGGACACTTTGAATACTAACAAGTATGTGAATGCCAAAAATGTAAGCAAATATAGAAAAATCTATGCATTCATACTATACTAAAGAAGTAACAAACCTAAATATCTCAGTCATCTTTAGAAGTTTCTGGGATGTTGTGATCCACATCCGAATTCCCTTTTAGGAATGAACAATTGCCTCTGCTGAAGACAGCTGCTTTGCCCAACATCATGCCCCATTCTAGGAGCAGCCCACAATCAGTGGCCATCCAACATGCAGGTAGAAAGGTCTGTTCCCCTCACTCCAACTGAAAAGCAGCTCTGAAGCACCATATTAGTTTTGAGAACTGTCATAATAAGATAGCAACAAAATTCAGCTTCTCCTCTGCACAATCCTGCTTCCTTCATTTGTCTTTGATTACAAGATCACTCTGTAATAAAATGCCATCTAGTCAATTTCCAGTACCGCCCATTCTCTAAGTTTAAATCACAAAGATAACTTTAGTATTTTCAAAAAATCTCATGGGCACATCCAGACTATGCAATTTTAATCATCACGGGTTAATCTATGAGAAAGGGAATACAACATATGATTGCAAACACTCTTTAGTGCCAGATATGCTTAACACCAACCTCTGTGTGACCACAGTAACACCGAGTGATAATAAACTAATATTACAATAACCAAACAATTGTCTAAGCAGCACTTTTTAAAACATGTATCATCCTAAAAGCTTCGGTAAGGTTGACAGTAGCACCTTTGGCTTGGGAAAGTTTCAGAAACTGTTTAAGTTTGGGATTCGGCCACATTACCAACACACACACACACGCAAAATTTTTCTGGAATACGGGGGAGTGAATCAAGTTATACCAACGACTCCATTTGAATCAGCACTAACAGGATTATCACAAACCTGGATAATAAAAATAAACTTTCTTCACTTCTCACCCAAACATGAATTCCTGCAAACCTGAGGTGAACTGGGAAATGACTTTTGGAAAGCTTACACGCTTTTATGGAGATGCAGAATGTTACTTTACCACACAATTAAACCAAACCGGGGTATGGACTGAAAGTTCATTAGTAGTGGTAAAATAATTTAGCGAATCGAGGTCAGTATTAAAAAAAAAAATCTGCAAAGATGTTTTCAGTATTTCACTATTGTTTTACATGCCTGCATAGGTATGTGGTGTGCTTGTGAGTACACGGGGCCTCACATAAAATGTATTTCTTTCTTTGCATCGGGGTGAAAGGTGTTTGAAAATGTCTCAGGTTCTGCTACCCAAAGCTTGCAGCACAGGCGGCGGCGGGGAGGTCTCCGGTCCCTAGCGGGGGCCCCTCCCCTGCCTCGCGGTACTTACAAAGGAGTCGCTTACGACCAGCACCACGTTGGGCACTTTGGCTGCTCCCCGCCTCTGCTCCCCTGCTCCGGGGGCCTGTACCGCTAGCGCCGAGACTGCGACCAGCGACACCCACAGCATTAGCATCGCTGGTAGCGGTTTTGAGAGCCTGTCGCCGGGCCAGCCGCCTCCTTCTGGCGTTCTCTCCCTGGCAGAGCAGGGTAGGGACAGCGAACAACTCCCAGAGCTTGCAGTTTGGTTTCTTGATAGTAACGTCGGGCTTCACCCGCAGAACTACAACTCCCATCAGGCTGAGAGCGCGCACATGCGCAACAGAGAAATCTCCGCTTTTACCCACATTAAGGCTTTTTAATCAAATACCGAGCAAATCAGAACCCAGCCACTTCCAGTCACGTGAATGATGCCTGGGAAAGGCGCATGCGCTCTCATTGCAGACTCGGCATTTGTAGAAGAGGAGCATCTGTCCCAGGTGGGTTCGGATCTCTGTCGCTTTTGCACAAGGGATCATAAAGGCGATTGAAATGGTACTTAGCGAAAGAAAGGATCGGGGCCGGGGCTGTTCGTTTTGGGCCGCGCAAGCGTGACTGAGTGTTCGGCGAGAGCGTGAACTGGGCGGCGATGAGGTGGCGGCGCGGCTGTCACTTAAGTTCAATAGGGCGGTTCCTTGTGGGGCCTCTGGGTGGACCGCCTCAGGTGCGCCGTGAATACCTTAGAGCCCCTCGAATACCTTCCCAGAGAAATCTCTAGTCTGTCTCATCTTATAGCTTCTCTTACCCTGTGCAGTCAGGATTTACTGTGCTCTCATGGGACGAGGAGCGGGGCCTAGTAAGAAGTTTCAGGCTGTAGGCGGGGGAAAGCATAGCTGTTCCTTGCCTTCAGAGAGCAAAGGAGACAAGGGAAACTGGAGGGGGAAATGGGCTCTGCGACGTATTCAGTTAGTTGGCGTAGGTTCAGAATATCATTGTTTTGCTGCAGAATAAAAACCGGTCTCTTTTGACTGTTGAATTCCTTTGGAGAGTTCTGGAAGATTTCTGTCCCAAAGCCAAATTCCAATTTCAGTATCTAGTTTCGAGTATATAATTTGCACATCACACTAGTAGTTTTAATATTCTGATAGTAAAAAGAGGAGTTGTACTACTTACTTAACATAATTCAACTGAATGCTAGTATCTGGCAGGTTTTTTTTTGCATAAGATAATTGTAATAAGGAACAGATTTATTTAATACTCACATGACACTTAGGTGCTGAGCGTTACACTAAGCATTTACTGAGCATCTACTGCATGCCAGGTACTTTTATATGGAATATTTTCCATGATCCTCACTTTCACCATACTGCAGATAGGAAAACAGGCTTAGAGAGGTTAAATGACTGACCTGAGTTTACACAGGGAGCCAGTCAGAGCACGACTGAAAATTGAAGAGTCTGTGCCGTAACTCACTAAATGCTCTCTCTGCAGTTAATTACAAAATTTCTTGCCAGTCTACTGAGTTTATCTGTTAGTGTAGCAGAATTGTTACTCAAGCAGCGTGATAAAGATCTGCGGGTCACGCAAAAACGTAAACAGTGTTGGGCGCGGTGGCTCACGCCTGTAATCCCAGCACTTTGGAAGGCCGAGACGGACGGATCACCTAAGGTCAGGAGTTTGAGACCAGCCTGGCCAACATGGTGAAACCCCGTCTTTACGAAAAATACACAAAATACCGGGCGTGGTGGCGGGCGCCTGTAATCCCAGCTACTCGGGAGGCTGAGGCAGGAGAATCGCTTGAACCCAGAAGGCGGAGGTTGCAGTGAGCCGAGATCACACCAATGCACTCCAGCCTGGGCAACAAGAGCAAAACTCTGTCTCAAAAAAAAAAAAAAAAAAAAAAAAACCTAAACAATAGTCTCGGTTTACACGAGGTTAGACTTCAGGGAAGCAAAACCTAGCATACATGAAATAATAATACAGCGTGGAAGGTGATACAAGTGTACTCCCTCATAAACACAAATTTGTTTCGAATTTATTTGGAATGTAGGATGTATTTTCTACCATGGTGACAATATTGACTGACATTTGAATTCATAAAAGTTATATTTAACTTTGTGTCTGATTCCATAAACTGTACTTACTCTCTACAGCCTTGTTTCCACAGGATATGTACTCTGATGACAGAATTACAAGAATACATCTTTTTTTCTTTCTCCCCTTGGCAGTGTCAATAGGAGCAGGTGCTGCAGTGATTTGGAGCAAGACAGATATTTTAGAGCCTTAGAGACATTGTGCTGGAAGAATCTAAGAGGCTTCTAGTCCTACTTCCCATCTGACATTCAGTTTATCCTAAATCATTCCTGCTGAGTGGATTGTTCAGCCTGTGCTTTTTCATCTCCAGCGATGGGAAGCACTTCCACTGAACGCCTCATTCCACATTTAAATAGGTCTCATTAAAAGTTCCTATTTTAAGTTGAAGTTAATCTTCCTCTATTTTTAACCATTCATTAGTTCATTTTTCTTCACTTTTACATGGATAATCTCTCCCTTTCAACAGTCCTTCCCCTCACTCCCTCTCCACCATTTATTTTTTCCCTAGTCCCCAGTTTCTTCAGCTAGTTCTCATAATTTCAGGTTCCCTCATTGTTTTGATTACTCTTTTGTGAACATATAACATTTTTGCTAATCAGTAACTATGCTATCAGAAAAGGTACTCAGGAGAATGTAACCATTTGCCTCACTGCCTACTTCCCTCCCACCGTTTTTCACTCCTGTATGCTCTCCCCTAGAATACTGAGTTCCCAAAGCCCTCTTTGGAAAGTGCGGGTCACAGATGCTTCTGTGGGCTTGTTTTTCCCCAGGAGCGTCCTCAAAGTGTGACTCGATAAACCTCTACTGATTGAGACACTTCCCTCAGTCACTCAGTTTTTTGTTAACACTGGTAAGTTTTGGAAGCTAGAAGATCATTAGCTCTTTATTGAATATGTATTATTCAGTAAGTGTTGGGTATCTAAGAAGCTCTGAAAATATAAGACCTACATCTAAGAATTTATTGAATTGGGAGACAGGTTATGTCTATATAAGATAATAAAAATAATATTTGTTAAGTTGCAGTGGAGTAGCTCAGTTAATAAGTGGTTTGGAGGAGGAAGTGATCCCTGTTGTAGGCTGTACTCTAGTATTCCTGTAGTGTAGTAACTAATTTGAAGAGGATACTCATGTTTGATGATAGCTGTCTTTTGAGGAATACAGATGCTTCTTGACTTATGATGGGGTTACACCACGATAAACCCATTTTAACTTGAAAATATTGTAAGTCAAAATGCATTTAATATCCTGATAAGCACTTCCTAAAGTCAAAAAACTGTAAGTTCAGCCATTTGTAAGTCAGGGGCCATTTTTTTTTTTTTTTTTTTTTTTTTTTTAGACACAGTCTCACTCTGTCGCCCAGGCTGGAGTGCAGTGGCCAGATCTCAGCTCACTGCAAGCTCCGCCTACCGGGTTCACGCCATTCTCCTGCCTCAGCCTCCGGAGTAGCTGGGACTACAGGCGCCCGCCACCACGCCCGGCTAGTTTTTTTTGTATTTTTTAGTAGAGACGGGGTTTCACCGTGTTAGCCAGGATGGTCTCGATCTCCTGACCTCGTGATCCGCCTGTCTCGGCCTCCCAAAGTGCTGGGATTACAGGCTTGAGCCACCGCGCCCGGCCCAGGGGCCATTTGTATAGGTAAGAAGTTTACTTCTTGAGAGAGCAAGGAAGAAGGAGGTTGCAGAGAGGGTTGGGGATTTTGAATGTGTAGAGAAAATTTGTAACTGAGTTATCACACTAGTTGTTTTAGGAATGGCAAGTAGTGAAGTTGATTGAGCGAATAACAGTAGATAGGACATTATTAGTATAGATTATGTTTATGTCAGGTAAGTGATGCAATTCTTACTTTACCAGTGAGGAAATGGGCTTTGAGTAATGAAGTCAGCTAACCAAGGCCGAATGGCTTTGATCCTAGATCCATTTGATTTCCTAAGCTCACTCTCAACTAGAGTAAGCCTTGGTGGGTGGATATGACAGAGTAAGGGGGCTGACAGGATCTAGAGTAATTTGTAAGAACAGAGCTGAAGTGACTGAGTGATAAATTAAAACTAGATTGGATGAGGAGGGCAGCCAAGTGTTACCAGGGCTAAAGAAGCCAGTGAAATAGTCAAGTTAGTACTTTTTTTTCTTTTTTAACTGTTATCTTACTTTCCTAAACATTGTTTGGATTACCATACTTTCTTTTCTTACCAGTAAGACTTTTTACTGTTGAACTTATACTTCTATTTAGGTAGATCACTAATGAGTGTTTTGGTTAGGGAAACTTTTCATTCCTTGTTCATCCCTACCTGCCTCACCTAAACATTGTTTACTTCCTAGTTCCGAAGTAGCATGTTTTTTTCACTTTATTCAACTTTTCAAAACCACCTCCATTCTCTCCAGGGACCATTCTAGATTATTTTTTGTTTGACAGAAGCCACTTCAGGGATGCTATCAAAATATTCTTAGAACTTATAGATGTGTAGTTAGTTGTGTTACTATTTTTAATGACTATTTAAATGCATTATTAACATTAAAAATTTTTCTCTGTTTTCATTAGATTACAAACTAATATAATTGTATTATATTATACTCCTTATGTTCCTTAGAACAAAGTTCTATTCTAATATAATTAGGCTGCAAATTGGGTGTAAATAATTCCCCATAGTTGTCTGTAGATGTCCTTGATTCAAAGCAAAAATGGCACAGAAATAGTAGATATTCTTTTTTGCCTCCATTTTTTATATTGACATCAGTGTATTTTGGGTTTCTGAAATGATTTTTCAAAATCCTTCTGATCTCTTATAGAAGTTTCCTTTTATCATCTGAGACCCTAGGAATATAGTTTAGACCAATTTAGAAATTTGGAGATTAAGATTAGTGTCTCTCTGGGAAAGAATACAAATACTAAAAATCGTACATAATTATTTCTCATGTTTTAAATTATGAATTATGAAAATTGAATCTGATGCTTTAAAAAGTTTAGAAGGTTTTGGGTTGTGGGTGTCATCCTTTTTATATGACTGTCTCATACTTGTTTTTATTTAATTTAGATGGAAAATGGGTAAGGAACAATCTGAAATTCAATTCGGGAAGAATATAGAGGTAGTAATAATAGGTAAAAGGTAAGTGTCTAGAATGCTAAATAATAAATTGGAATCTATTTTTACTTCATGATTGTTTTTACTCATTCCTTTCAGAAGAAAGATTTAATGGCATAGGTTTTTGTTTTTTTTTTAATGTCAGACTATGGATCATCACAAAATACCTTTTGTTATTAGATTTAAAGGTA